TTCCTATACGCCATGTCACGTGTAGGCCCTAGGCTTGGGTCGTGATAACTGATGGTGAGTAAGAGTGGAGACAAGATAACAATTCTTCTTTTAATATATTCTTATGCTGAGTTTCTTTCTATTAAATCTTTGTTAGTTTTTGGCTCCTAGGTTTAGACTAGAAGAGCTTGTTTAATCCTGGGGGATACACCCATACCGGGTGAAATATCCTTAAGGACAATGTCTTTTGACACACCTCAAGCTATGAGAATTTCCTAGAAGAGTTCGTGGTGAAGTACAAGCTTTAGTGAATTCCGTACAAGTGTTCGTGATGAAGATATTTTCCGTAAGATTTACAACAATCTTCATTATGTTACCTTCTTAAGATTGATACCTTCTTACGGAAAATACAATGGTTCTTAAGATTGTTGTAAATCTTACGGAAAATACCTTCTTGACGAACACTTGTACCAAATTCACCAAAGCTTGTACTTCACCAGTAACTATTATAGGAAATTCTCATAGCTTGAGGCGTGACGAAAGACACTGTCCTTAAGGATATTTCACCCGGTATGGATGTATTCCCTAGGATTCAACAAGTTCTTCTAGTATAAAACTAGGAGTCAGAAACTAACGAAGATTCAATAGAAAGAAAACCAACATGAGAATATATTGAAAGAAGAATTGTTATCTTGTATCCACTCTCACTCACCATCAGTAAGAATTAGATTTATATAGGAAATTAGTAACCTCTCTAATATGTCAATGGTTGAAATAGTTAATAGGCATTGAACACAATTAATGAATTGAAGGCAATTCATTTCAGCAAAGAGACGTTTGGTAACAGTCATATTATGACAGAAAATAATGACTAATTAAAGGATAATAATAATGGCAATAGAATATTATTTATGGAGAGAAAATATTTAGGACATAAAATAATATTTTCTTTCAAGTATGGTAGGAAATAAAATAATTCCTTTTGAGATACTAGAATCATTTTTCCTACAGAAGTAACATAATGAAGATTACCGGTCTACGAATATTATGTTTCATTAGATAGGGAAAAATGTAAGAACCAGATTTGAGATAACCATTTATGAAACCATTTTTTCTCTGTGTATGTTACTAATATTCCACTTTCTTGTCCTTTTACAGAAAGACATACAAAATCTGTTGGGTGTGGCTTGAGCACAACAGGTGTTGTGAGAGTTCAGCATATGTATTGACCTTTAGTTGGAAGTGCTTTCATGGTTCTATCTGTTTCCTTCTTCCCTGCCTACGAAACAAGCGAGCTTGTACCCCACCCCCTTAGTTTTTTTTCCCTTGTTGATGTACTTTGGTTGTGTAAACTCGTTCATTACCATGAATTTGTAAAAATAAAAGTTGCATAGTAGTTGTTTCAATGACTCGTGACTATAGTAACTCTATATACAAGCATGTTATTGCCTTAATAATAAGAAATAAATTGTGTGCAAAATGTCTCACTACAATGTTGTGTGGGTAGACTGATTATTGTTGGTGCTATGAACGATGTTCTACGAAATATGATGATTCTCATGCTCTAGAAATATGAGAACAATCTTTCTGCAGAGGTTGAGTTATTTGCTGCTTAATGAGAACATTTTTTTAAAAATGTGTTTCAAGATTTTGAACAAACAAGAAATGTTCATTTGCCACTCTACGCAAGGAAATTTTGAGTTGTGTATACAAAACTCATGATATTGTAAGATTTTGATTTGACACGTATTTGAATTTTTTGGTCTTAAATTAAAGATATGCATAATGTACCAAACTTTAGTGCACTAAGCTTCCACAACACGCATGCTCGGAGGGAAGGATTGTGGCCTATGGTACGCATTCTTATTCTGTATTTCTACAAGATACTATTTTTACAGTCAAACGCGTAACTTCCCAAGAAATTGAGACGGAGGGAGTTCTATTAGGGATTTGATTCCTTCACAGAGTTGTGAAGGATGAGGCACTCTACACCATGTGGCTACCAATCAACCACAACTTGCAAGGATATCTTAGAATCAGAATATGCTTCATTTTTTTTATCCCTTTGAAATAAAGACTGTTAAACGTTTCAAAGATACTGTTAGAATATTTTTACATAATCGAAATGAATCTGACATGTAAGTAGATTGATTGATTGTTCCTATCTATCTGGAAAAAAAGAACAAATTGAGTTCTGTTAAACACGTAAACCAGACAAGGAAGAGACTTGATTTATCATAACCAAGAACAGTATTTTGATCAGCAATACATAAGAAAACAAAATTAAAACATGAAGAAGAATTGAGATTTTGATTACTTCAATCTTGGACTAAAACTGATACACAAAGTTATATCAGGGTTAAATTTATTCCATGTGTTGGTTAATCTTAGACCTGAAACATCTCTTCCTTCCTCTTCATGTATATTCTTCTACTTTGCCTACCCATCATGGACATGATTCTTTTTGAATCAATCTTCAGGTAAAGCATGAGGTACCTTGTTGGCCTTGTGGCCATAGCCTTTTTTTCAGGATCCAGGCAAAGAGAGCACAAGTACTCTTCCATATGAAGAAAAGATCATCTCATTTCTCCTCTCATCTCTTTGTTTTTTGCATTAAGCTTTTCTTGGCTTCCATTCTTCCCTTTTTAGTTACATAACTTAACGGTGCACGCCACAGCTTGAGCCCAGTATTTCAGCCTTGCTTTCACATCTTCAGGATCATCACCTGAGGTTAGACAAAATGTATCAGGATTAGTGACATAAACAATGACAATTGAGCAACAAATTGAGTTACATTCCATTTGAAATTTGAAGATTTTGATCATCTTCACCTTCCCAACAAACAAAAAACAAGAAACACACAACAAAAAGATTCCTTTGTTTTTTCATTTTCTCCTTTTGGGGTTTAGTCTTTTGTTCCAGAAAGATGATTTATCAGGCCACACAGAAAGCTAAAAGTAAGGAACAGAGAGTTTATAACTCCAAAGATTCCACCTTTTCTTCACAAAAATGAAAGCTTTAACAAGAATCTAACTAGAAAAAGAACAATTTCAAGATTATCACAAACCCTTGTCAAGATTTATGAACAGATTCAAAACCCTAGAGAAAAAAAGACTTACCAGGACTTGAGATCTTCCAATTAGCAACATGACCAGATCCTGAAGAACCAGTATCAGACATAGCATCAGAACACTTTTGCTGTTCATCAAGGTACTTTTGGCTCATAGAATAGCAAAGTTCAAGAGCTGGTAAAGTATTACAAAGCTCAGGAATTTCATCATAACTAAACCCAAAACCAAGATCCAAACACCCTTTAAGCTCCTCCAAATCATCATCTGTCAAACTCTTTGTCCTCCCTAGTTCATCTTCATCTGAATTTTCTACATACCCTTCAAGAAAGACTTGATTTTTCTTCTTTTGAGATCTACTATTCAACCATGGCTCCTCAACATTCCTGAACCAGCCACTTTGTGGTGTGTTGGTATTCCAAGAAATCTCCTCCATTAGTTCTTCTTCCTCTTCCACTACCTCTGGTATTTGCTCAACACCATCATTAAAAAAGCTTTCACAAGACCTGGATCTTGTTGTTGTTGTTGATGATAGATCAGAAAAAGTTTCCATTTTTTTCTTCCAACTTTTTGAGTGTTTTTCTCCTCTCTGTAAGAAGTAATGATTTTAAGAAAGAAGACTCAGCTTATATATAAAGGAAAAAGGCTTCCTCAATAATGGCCAGCTATTCATAGGGTGGATGCACATAGGCCATTATAGAGAGATTATGTACATACTATATACACATACATGTCTCTACAACATAATAATTGTGTCTAGAATATGTAATTAATTAGTCTAATTTTATTTGGATATACTACAATTACGATATGTCTCAATAAATTTTATTTAGATATACTTGAATTATGATATGTCTTAATTAAAATTGATATATATAATAAAAGAAATGGAAAAATGATAAATATACTTGCAAATACTATCTGTCATACTTTTGGAATATTAGTGTTCCTGCCGTCCTAAAATTAGAGCATTTATGCCCTTTATTTTAACGGAAGACTAAATAGGGACACGTAGCGCAATCTTATCCATCGATCTAATATTTAATAAATGTCGGATTGATAGATAAGATTATGACACGTGTATGTCTGTTAGTATAAAGGATATATGCTCTAATTTTTGGATGGCAGGGAAACCAATGTCCCAAAAGTATGACAGGGTATCTGCATAACATTTACGATAGTTTAGGGGTATATTTGTCCTTTTTCCCTAAAAGAAATGGTATATTTTATATAGTTAACTTATTTATTTGATGTGTGTTTGAGAATACGCGCTTGAGGTCGTCGACTTATTGACAATGACAAATTTAGGATTTTAAGGTTGTAGGTGCTCTAAAAATGGTGAGACATATTAATAGTGAGATTCGAACTCAGGCTCAACAACACTAAAAAAGTCTTAAGCACCCACTCAAGAGTCAATAGACCAATCAAATCATTTGTTAATTGGGTGCTCTAGTTAATTTTATACAAATACCTCTTTATTTCTACATAGATATATATATTTCGTGACGAGGTTAATGGGTGTTCGAGCACCCAACGGACTCCATGTGGGTTCGCCCCTGCTTATTGAAGCTAATTTTTATAATTAAATGATGTTATATATTGTAAGTAGTTAACTTATTTACGTAATAAATATTTGATAACATGCATACAAATATTTTAAAATCATGTATAAGTGATATTTTGTTTGGTTGCTGGTTAGAAAATAGTTTCTTATACTTAAAGAAAATGATTTGAGTTAGTTGAAAATTAAAAGAAGGTTCCTTCCTAATGTTTGGTTTGAATTAATCAAATTTTTTGACTGAGACGCCACCTAATACCCTTTCCTTCATTTGTTTCAACTGTATGTAAACAAATTATATTAAATAATGAGATTCCAAAATCATATTAGTCAGACATTAAGTTAATTTTGAGATTAAAAATATAAGATTAAGTATATGTGGCCCAAAAGGAAATGGACAGCTGTACAATGACAAGAAAATGACAGAAATTAAAAATGTGAAAGGACACGTTGGTGTTTGATGGACCATAAGACCTAAATGCTAGTACCCTCCCTTTTATCCTATTGCGTGGGACGATAATTACTCTTTCATTATTAAAAGTATGTTTGACTAAATGATTAAAGTGTTAAAAATATAATTTTTCAAAACTTAAAATGTTTAGCTAAGTAGTAAAATTACTTGTAAATAAAAACAAAAACAACTTTTTTATGATTAGAAAAAAGCTAAAAAAAAAACGTTGCTTCATTATAAAAAAAGTAAAAGAAAAAAATCTCCATGATTTACATTTTATACATTTGGTTTATCAATACATAATTGTATATAGATCATTAGTTAATTAACATATTTTGTAAATTTTGTTAATTTTATTTCAGAGTTTTATAAAAAATTTAAGCAATACAATTTCTTTATTTTTATTTTATATATTATTATTATAAGTATGAGAGTCTGGTTAAATCAGGATATAAATTAAGAAAAAATTTGATTAAAAATTCCTGCCTATAAATATTGAAAATGCAAGTGGATAAACTATATGATTTTAGATCTTCTACTATTATGGAGTTGTATGATAAATGTAGGAATGAAATCGTCGTAATAGATGAAGGAACTTGAAATCTCTGTAAAGTATAAAGGATCTTGAAAATTTTGTAAATTATGAAGGATCTTTAAATCTTCGTAATGTAAGGATCTTATTTTATTTTGTGGTGAATTTTCATATTGAGTAATTTAATTTATGAAATTGTTTGAATTTATTTTGCTAGATATTTCTTAATCATCAATCGACAATATTTAATATATTTATATTGTTTATATTTATTTTATATATATATTATGTTGCAAGTATATAATATATACTTTTAGATTAAATAAAAATAAAATCAATAAAAAAACTTTCAGAATGGATAATTAAAATAATAGATCTCCTACTAATACTATTGTGTGATAAAAGTAGGAATATCCGTCGTTATGTACGAAAGATCTTGAAATCATCGTAAAGTATGAAGGATTATGAAATCTCTGTAATGTATGAAGGATCTTGAAATCTCCGTAAAGTATGTAGGACTTTGAAATCTCTATAATATATGAAGGATCTTGAAATCTCCATAATATATGAAGGATTTTACTTATTTTGCGGTGAATTTTTATAAGTAGTGATTTATTTTGCTTGATATTTTTTTAGGATAGTTAAATTCCATATTAATGTTAATAGTATTTAACATTTTTTTAAAGTAATTTATATATTATATTAATTGCAAATTTATAATAAATACCTTTAGATCAAATAAAAATATAATTTATTCAAAAAAATTCATAATATATACTAATAAAATATATTTCCTATGAAAATGAACTTTATAGAATAGTTTTATTAACCAAACATAAATGAAAATTCAAAAAATAAAAGTGCTTTTTTCATAGAATATGGTTGGATTATTGGACCCACCCACGTTATATTGTTGTTGTTAGATTTGTCAACATTTGGAGACCTCTCAATTATTATTTGATTCTTTAATTTTGTGATAAATATTTGTTTCTCTCACTTTTTAGACTTATTATATTTGGTGTGGTGACACTCCCAATTAGTCTGGAAAAAGTATTACTACTAATTCTACTTGTTTGGAAACTAGCTACACAATTTATTAGAGATATGCACTTTTGTTAACAAAATTGAAAAAAATAGTCAATGATGTTACTAGAATGGTAAAAATTTATTCACACGTGTTATATCAAATCAATAAATATAAATATATGTTATTCAAACATAATATATTTTTAACTATTAAAATTAAATTAACCGATATAATATAAATTCAGATGTGGATATAGGTGTGGTTTCAACTTTCACTCTTCCACTTGTTAATTTCATTTTCCTTCAATTAAGGGATTTTTAAAATAATTTTTTCTATAAAAAAACAACTATTTTTAAAGCACTTTTTAGCATTTATGCCAGCATAATAGATTACTTCCTTGCATTTAAATGCTTTTTACGAAGCATTTATATTTTTAGGCTTCTCAACGGATTGGTTCATTATTATTTTTGAACGTTATATATATATAAATATTGAAAAGCCATATATACTATTAATGATGTTATCGATTTCTAATTAATTGTGAAGTAAATACCCCCCAAAAAATAACCGTTTGAATTTTAATAAATTCTTGTGTATCTTACATATTCTTATTTAAGGTGTAAATTATTCAATTTACTTTTATGTATTTGACAATAAAAGCCAAAGTTAATTATAATACTTTTATTAAATGATAATTGTCTTCATTAGAACGATGTATTCGGCTAAAAAACTTTTAAGTGTGATACTATTATATTTTTAAATTTAAGAAATTCAACATTCAAGTATATTTAAATTTTAAAAGGAGCGACATAATTAAAGATATGTATAAATTATAATGAATCATCACAATTTATCTGAAATTAAGGCTAATTATATGTTAGTTGTGTATTTCGCCTAATATGCCATTTAATATACGGGTTCACGAAAATTCGGAAACATATTAATATCTCTTCAAACCTTTTCCTTTCAGAATTTAAGATAATCCGTCGTCGCTATAATCTCCGTCGTCCTCTGTTCTATGTGGTAAGCACTTTGTGTGCGTAGGGTAAACTCGGCCTTTCACTGTGTAGTAGCTTGCAAACCACATAGAAAATGTAAATAGCATTAGATAAATCCTATACGACATATTCAACTCAGAAGATATAAATAACATAAGATAAACCTTATACAACAAGGCATTCAATGCCTATTTGATTTTAAACTTAATTATTACTGTTATATTTATTTAAGACTAGCGCAAAAAACATATAACTTTTAAATTCTAGATTGTCTATGTACGAAGAAAGTAATTAATAGCTGGGAACATCCTTTGTTATTTCCACCTCTATCCAAAAGAAAATTTAGGACTCTCATATAAGATAAGTTAAAACTAGTGGGAGTATATATTTCTCCATTTATTTTTATATGTTCAGTATTTTAAAAATAAATTTTTACTTTTATTTGTCGCTTTTATCATATTAAGAAAAATAACTATATTTTTTAATTTTACTTTCAACATTAATTACTTATTCTCTAAATTTTGTCTCAAAATCTAAGACTAATATACATTTGTAGACAGTAAAATTTTATTGATAAATCCATACAAAATTTGGATTAAATCTTAAATTCATGATACGTTGACCAAGTCAAATTACTGGTTAATAAAATCAGATTAATATTTAAGTCAAAATTATATGACTAAAATCAAGTCCAAATTACATTTGGACCAGTCCATTAAGTTGACAAGATGAGCCCAACTCATGTTCTTCAAGCCCAGGGATCAAAATTGTTCAGACCAAAATACCCCTAAAGCCCTAGCTCAAACCTATATAAAGAGGTCTTCATAAGACCAAAAGAGGATACATATAGAGAAATACATAGAGAATCATTGTTCTTCAGTGGAAGAATCAGGGGATTACATATCTTTTACTAAAGATTTTATAAAGATTGTAACCTTCGCATAAATTACAAACACTGTTGTTTGCTTGCTATTTTCCTTTCCTATTTGCTGTATTTCAGGGATGAAACTTTAGACGCTTACAAATTGGCACACCCTGTGGGA